GTGTCTCCAGTGTTGTCCCCTGTAGGGCTGTGGGTCAGTGAGGGATGTCGTGTCTCACAGTGGGGCCGGCCATGTGGTGCTCTCTGTGGACTGGCTGTTCTGAGCGGGAATCTCGTCAAGGCTTGGTGGGCCAGGAGGTGCTCCACTCTCTCTTCCTCCCCCTTCATCTGCTCCCGTGTGCTCTGATCAGACATGCCCCTCTCCCGCAGCTGCAGCTTCAGTGCTGTCCTGAGTGAATTCTTCTGGCCCCATGCAGGTTTGACCGCACCCTGGGGGGCCTGGAGATGGAGATCCGACTGCGGGAGCATCTGGCCGGGCTTTTCAATGAGCAGCGGAAGGGCCACGGCTCAAAGGACGTACGAGCGAACCCCCGTGCCATGGCCAAGCTGCTGCGTGAAGCCAATAGGGTCAAGACGGTCCTGAGTGCCAACGCTGACCACATGGCTCAGGTGCTCACTGCGTTCCCACCTACGGGGCGAGGCTGACTGTGTGACCCTGTCCCTCTTGCCATCCCTCATGCCGCCCTTCCACACCCCTGCTCCTTAGTCTTTAGTCCACCAGTGAGGATGCCCTGACACCCTCGTCCTCCCTCAGATCGAGGGCCTGATGGACGATGTGGACTTCAAAGCCAAGGTGACTCGAGCGGAGTTTGAGGAGCTGTGCGCAGACCTGTTTGAGCGGGTGCCCGGGCCTGTGCAACAGGCGCTGCAGAGTGCGGAGATGGGTCTGGTGAGGAGGTCACTGTAGGCAGCAGGGGGCTGGGCGTGCAGAGGAGGGGGGGACTCACCGCTCCGTGCTCGCTCACCTGTGCTCTGTCCCGTCTGCAGGATGAGATTGAGCAGGTGATCCTGGTGGGGGGAGCCACGCGGGTACCCAAGGTGCAGGAGGTGCTGCTGAAAGCTGTGGGCAAGTGAGTGTGGGGACTGAGCCTCTGGGGGTGGTCGGCCTTGGGCAGGGCCCAGCGCCGAAGTCTGGACAGGTGCTGAGAGCCGGGCCTCTCGCAGGGAGGAGCTGGGGAAGAACATCAACGCGGACGAGGCTGCCGCCATGGGGGCTGTGTACCAGGCAGCGGCACTCAGCAAAGCCTTCAAGGTGAAGCCCTTCGTCGTCCGGGACGCCGTGATCTACCCCATCCTGGTGCGTAACATACACCCTTAACCTGTCCAGGGTTTCCCCTCCTGCTGGCTCTAGCTTATCCCTTTCTTGGTACCAAGGGGAGCCCATCCTTGCCCCCAGAGTGGGCTTCCATTCTCGAACACGCCTTCTCTCTGCCTGCCGTGCAGGTGGAGTTCACGAGAGAGATGGAGGAGGAGACGGGGGCTCGCAGCCTGAAGCACAATAAGCGTGTGCTCTTCTCCCGCATGGGACCCTACCCACAACGCAAGGTCATCACCTTCAACCGCTACAGCCAGGACTTCAACTTCTACATCAACTATGGCGACCTGGGCTTCCTGGGGCCCGAGGATCTTCGGTGAGCCGGGGAAGTGGGAAGCTAGGAGGGGCTGCCAGGTGACCTGAAGGCTGGGGAGAAGGGAGCATCTGGGGGTCTGTGGGCTGAAGACAGGGCAGCAGGCTGGGGCTGGGTGGGAGGCACTTCCTGCAGCGAGTGCCCCCTCACGAAGTGGGCAGGCAGGCTCTCTCAGTCACGTCTCCTCACCACGCAGGGTCTTTGGCTCCCAGAACCTGACCACCGTGGCGCTGAAAGGTGTGGGCGAGAGCTTCAAGAAGTATCCCGACTACGAGTCCAAGGGCATCAAGGCGCACTTCAACCTGGACGAGAGTGGTGTGCTGAGCCTGGACAGGGTGAGGGCACAGGAGCCCCTCATCTGCCCGTGTGGGGGGCTGGGGTCCGGCCCGGGTGGGGAGGGGACCAAGCATGAGAGTGCCAGTGTCTGCTGCACACAGGGCTCGCGTGGGCCTTCTCGGGGCTGTAAGTGCTCACGGGTCCCCCACGTGTCCGGGAAACCGGGAGTGGTGTGGCACCCGTGTGGGAGGAACGGTGTGAGTGACATGTTGGGGAGAGGACAAGGCCCTCACAGAGCAGAGAAGGAGGTAGGAGCCCTGGTGCGGGGGGTGGGGACAGACACAGACTGAAAGGTAGGAGCTTGGCTGGGAATCGCCCTGCAGCTGTGCACCCGAGGGAGAGTCCTCACCGGAAAAATGGCACCGCGGCCTGTGGGCACGCCTCACTGTCTTCGTTTGGAATCCCCATTTCCAGGTGGAGACCGTATTTGAGACGCTGGTGGAGGAGAGTCCAGAAGAGGAGTCCACGCTCACCAGTAAGATGGGCTCTGACTGCGTGTGGACCCCTGCGGGGATGGCCTCGTGTTGCTGGGACACTGGGGACGTGGAAGCCCCTTGTGTGCATTTGGGGAATCAGACGGGGTCTTGCCTTTGGGGTTAGCAGCTAGAGTCACTTTGGTCCCCTTTTGTTCTGCCCTCCCCCCAGAACTGGGCAACACCATTTCCAGCCTGTTTGGAGGTGGTACCACGCCAGAGGCCAAGGAAAATGGGACCGAGACAGTCCAGGTGAGCCCAGGATGTGGCAGTGAGGGTGGGTGTGGAAGATGGCGCCTGGATGTGGGCGTGGCAGCAGAGGCAAGGAGCTCAGGGTGTCACAGCCGCCCTGCTCCTCGGGCTCCACTCTCGTTCTTGTCTGTCCTGGCGGTCCACGGCCCATCTGCAGACTCTCCCCTTTGTCCATCTAGTCTGCTGAAGGGCAGGCAGCCTGCCCGCGCCTGTCCTGCAGTGTCTGTCCACCCCGCTGTGTCTGCCATGGCCGAGGCCTGTCCGGAGCCACGGACCCTGCTGGTGACCTTTGTCTGGTGGCTTTCAGGAGGAAGAGGAAGGCCCTGCTGAAGGGAGCAAGGAAGAGGCCGGGAAGCAGGCAGAGGTGAAGGAGGAAGCTGAGGCCCTGTCGGAGGATCCCTCTCAGCCCCCACCCCCTGAGGGGAAGGCACCCCCCGCTGGAGAAAAGGTTGCAGAAAAAGAAGATGGGGAGCAGTCGGAGGCCAAGGTGAACCATGGGCCTGGGGAGGCCGGGGTGGGGCCCAGAGACGAGGGCACAGTGCCTGTGCTTCCCCTCAGGTCCCCTGGAGCCCACCCTGGGGGCGAGCAGAAGGGTCTGGGCTTTTCCTAGATTTCCTGCTGTTTTTCCTCCCAGAAGCCAGGTGAAAAGGGAGAGGCGGGCCCTGAGAGCGACCCACCCACCCCAGAGGAAGGGAAGAAGCCCAAGCCGGCCCGGAAGCAGAGAGTGGTGGAGGAGATAGGGGTGGAGTTGTCCATCCTGGATCTGGTGGACTTGCCAGAGGATATGATTGCTCATTCCATACAAAAGTGAGTCAGGGCTGTGAGTGTGTGTGTGTGTGTGTGTGTGTGTGCTCATTCCATACAAAAGTGAGTCAGGGCTGTGAGCGTGTGTGTG